TAAGCTCAAACCGAACTGATCCAGATTTTCCTCTCCTGCACATTGATCCATTAAACATCACCCAGGCATTCGGACATCTTTTACTTGAAATATTCTCTTTCTGTTTGCTCAAACCACTGGAACTCAGCTCAAGAACATCCATTTTCCTGTGTTTCCAGTGTTAGCTCTTAGAAATGACCAGAATTAGAACCAGACATGTTCTTTTCACAGTTCCGAAGCAGAACTCGCAGCTTTAGGACGACTTTAATGTCACCTTCTGCCTGGTTTATCCACATCAGCTCTAATGTCTCCAGTGAGTCCATGAGGCAGAGGGCGACAGAATCCACTGTTGGTTCATCTGATGGATAGAAATGTTATCCAAACTCTTAAAAAATACCTTTATTGTAGCTGAAAGTGTGGATTCTGTCTGAGCTCTCCCAGATGTTTGCCAGATGTACCAGAGAGAGCGTCTCTGGATTGGAAGTGATGGATGGGAAACAACGGACACACTTGGCGGCACTTTAACAAAGTGAAAACGAGCCGAGGAAGAAGAAGATACCTTCAAAGAGACGTAGAGAAGTCCTGCTGAAGTTTTAAGCTCTATAAACTGATGGATTTATCTTCATCCCGGGGAGATAAAAGCAGCTGAGATGTTCTCCAACATCTTATTTCTTTAAAATCTTTATTAAAACTTTACAAATATCCAGACTTCCCACCAAGCAAGAACTGGTTGAAAAGACAATAAAAGGACGACATGATTTACGTTCAAACGATGAAGTGAAAGGTGAAAAGGAAAAATTTTCAGATCTTTCAATAGATGTCGAACAGTTGATTTGCGATGTCTTTTCAACGTCTATTGATGGACTAAAGTGGGACATAATCAGACGGACCAACAGAGTCCAATTTCAGACAGACAAGATTTAGGCCAAAACCTAACGTCTAAATGACGTCTGGGGTTTGAGTCGGAGGCGCTCCCAGGCCAGCAGAGAGACATAATCCCCCCATGGTGTCCTGGTTTCCCCCTGGTTCTCCTCCTGGACGGATATCCGTGGAAATTTTAGATTTCTCTTGTTTTATATATTGATTTATGCTATTTACTCCTTATAAAGTTTTCACTCTGTAAGCATCACCTGCAAGGCCACACAATGCCTGAGTGAGGGGTGTTTGTAGACTTCTTCCCATAACAAACCAGATTCTTTCTCAAGGTTTATTCATAACATGTTACTGTTTAACCAAAGTGTCTGTAATATGTTTTAATTATTGTAAGTATGGAGGAACGAACGCTGCCCAGGCAGAACAGGACTGATTACTGTGCAATAATGGCCGTAGGATGAACCGTTCTATCTTTGCAAAGATAAAAATAAAGTGCGACTGAGTGAAATCCATCGACCTCCATTTATTTTAACTGGAGTAAATAGTTGAATACTTTTTTCCCACTACAAACCTCTCAGCGGGAGGCGTCCATCTCATACGGATGTCTGATCCTCCTCAGCGGCTCTCCTCTAAGGCTCTAATAGCCCAACCTCCCTGCAGAGCATTTCATTTCGGCCACCTGTATCCAGGATCTCATTCTTTCGGTCATGATCCAGATTTCATGACCATAGGTGAGGGTGGATGTTGGGTTTTAAATCCAGAGAAATGTGACTTTAAAGGAATAGTACACCCAAAACATGATTAGCCTTCATTTTCTACTCACCCCCATGCTGAACAACACTCTGGAGTACTTTTTTGATATCTCAAATGCATCTGGAGATCTGGGAGGCTTCTTGCTGTCTGCTGACATTCAAATAATGGAGGTCTATGGTGCCCGAGGCAGAAAGGTCCATAAAAGTCCACAAAAAACGTGTCAATATTCCTCCATACTGCTCGTCCAATGTATTCCAAGTGTCCTGAGTGGGTAGCGTCCAGAATTTACTCGAAACGAAGTCATTTAGAATGTTTTTAGAGCATAAACAGTAGTGATAGGATTTCCTAAAAGCGCGTTCACGACGCTGCGGAAACCGCGGCAGACCAAACCAGATGAAAGTGCGCATTCAGCGTCTGCTCTGCCGATAATGCAAGCGTAGAAGAAGAAATGTGCTGTTTACCTGTGCAAAGAAAGAAACAACGAAAGAAAAATGTCTGAGGACTTCAGTGTTGAGGAAGAGCATGAGTTCTTTGCCGAGCTGAATGCGCACTTTCATCTGGTTTGGTCTGCCACGGTTTCCGTAGCGTCGTGAACGCGCTTTCAGGAAATCCTATACACTACTGTTTATGCTCTAAAAACATTCTAAATGACTTCGTTTGGAGTAAATTATGGATGCTACCCACTCAGGACACTTGGAATACATTGGACGAGCAGTATGGAGGAATATTGACACGTTTTTTGTGGACTTTTATGGACCTTTCTGTCTCGGGCGCCATGGACCTCCATTATTTGAATGTCAGCAGACAGCAAGAAGCCTCCCAGATCTCCAGATGCATTTGAGATATCAAAAAAGTACTCCAGAGTGTTGTTCAGCATGGGGGTGAGTAGAAAATGAAGGCTAATCATGTTTTGGGTGTACTATTCCTTTAAAAGATTAAGAGGACGAAATGATCAAACACAGACTGGGATTTTGAAACGTCAACCTCTGCAAAGGGGAGAGAAGCTGCTGGCTCAAAACCAGCACCTTTTCTCCCAGATCCCTTCACAGCAAAGCCTTTTATTAACAGTTTACAACATAATAGGGCGGGCCTTAAACAGAAAACCCAGTAATGATTATCTGGCAGGATGCAGGACATAGAACAGTGTGAAATGACCATCTGGCTGGATGGAAGTCACACAACCGTGTGACTCTGCCTCATGACCTACTGGATGCAGGTCATAAAAGTTTATGACGCTCCTGATTGAATCACAGGATCGAACCAGAACCAGAATGTTTCATATGCCCACACATTCATTTTATAATTATCCCTCTAACAGTGGGAAACATAGACTGACCCATTAATTGAGAGCTTTGCTTTTTCTCTCTTCGCTACAACAATCCGGTGCAGCTGTTACTGAGGAACAGGAACCCAAGCCACTGGAGGCAGGAAGTCTCCTCCAACCTGAAGAGGACAAGCTGCCTATTTCTGGCAGAGAAGCAATACCTCGCGCTTGGAGGAGTTGATTCTCACCCTGCCGCGTCCTGTAGGTCTGGAATGAGGGAGCCAGCAGAACCACATCATCTGTAAAGAGTAGAGATGAGATCCGCTGGATCCCAAACCAGACCCCCTCTGGCCCTGTGCTGCATCTGGACTGCGCTGTTCTTTAATATTTAATCAAATAACTTTCTGGCTGTCTTATTTTTTCCAGTAAACACCCACCCAATGGATGTTAGTTAGGACAAAAGCTGAAGAATTCAAGGTCAATCGGGGTCAAACTCTTTTCCACATCTCTCCTATCCTGGCTTCTCTTCATTGGCTTCCTGTTAAATCAAGAATAGAATTTAAAATCCTCCTTCTCACATATAAAGCCTTAAATGGCCAAGCTCCATCTGATATCAGAGATCTGATTGTTCCTGATGTTCCTAACAGAGCACTTCGCTCTCAATCTGCAGGTTTACTAGTGGTTCCTAGAATTTCTAAAGTAGAATGGGAGGCAGATCTTTTAGTTCTCAGGCTCCTCTCCTGTGGAACCAACTACCAGTTTTAGTCCGTGAGGCAGACACCCTGTCTACTTTTAAGGCTAGGCTTAAAACTTTCCTTTTTGATAAAGCTTCTAGTTAGAGTGGCTCAGGTTATCCTGAGCTATCTCTATAGTTCTGCTGCTATAGGCTTAGACTGCTGGAGGACATAGGGACCCCTTTTTCATCATTCTGCTTCATTCTATCTCTATTCTCCCACTCTGCAGAATCTGTTAGATCAATCTCTAACCGTATGCCCCCTCTGCCTTTTCTCATCATAGTAGCCTCACCTGGTCTTGTCTTATTTAGCCAAATTGCTCAAGAAAACCAGTTACTGCCATCAACGCCTTAGATTATGGATGGTAGAGTTTGGCCTGTTTTTCAGTATTTTTCGCCTGTTCAATCCCCCCTATAGACCAGTATTGGGTATTGCAGGCTAACTAAGACCCCAAACGATGACTTTCTGGTTCTATTTACATGTTTTCTAAGCCAAAAAAAAAGGCTTTCTAGGTCCACTCTGTAAAACCTGGAACTAAACGCTATTTCTGACATTTTGAATTGAAAAAGCTTCCTGGATGGAAGAGAAACGTCTTCAAACTTGGAAACAAAGTCCAGTGGATTGTTTTTTTTTTTAAACTTTTGTTGGAATGACTATGAACTGGATGACTGAGAATCTTCACCGGCATATTTTCAGTGTTTAGTCCTGTTTGTCTCCGACAGCTATGGACTCAGCTTTTACTGTGACTAACTGGATTTTCTCTCTCTCATCACTTTGAAATAAAAACACCTCTGATTAATCAGAGCTCCTCTGATTAACTGTTTCTTTCCCAGTCACTCATGGAGTTAGCTTACTGTTAGCTTTTCTAATATAGAAATTATTTATAAATTAGTGTCTCTATGTTCTTTTTGTTTGTCTGCCTCTGTCTTTGACATCCCCCAGTCTGCCTCAGTAGAAGGCAGCTCACAATAAATCTGGTCTGCTGTAGGTACCTTGTTGTTAAAGGGTTTCCCTCCCCACCATCGCCGCATGCATATCCAGGTGGAGCAAATCTTAAAAGTCAATGGCTGGATGCAACCAGCTGGTTTTCCTTAGAAAACTTTTATCTATTTGGAAGATCTACCTGCCTGGATTTTAAGGAAATTAATCTGTTTATTTTCAGTGATCTGAGTGGTTGACATTTTCTTCTTCTTTTGGCTTTAAAATTTGGCTGCATGGATCAGTTTCCTAAAAAACAGAAGCGGAACTCTGGATGTGGTCAAAGCGTCGCGTTAACTGGACCCACCTTCTCTTAACCAGATATTCCATCAGAGCATCAGCTTCCTCCTCACTCCGAGGTCATCTCCAGCTCCGGTTTTATTCCAATTCCCAGGAATGAAAACTCCAAACAGACAGCATGAGATTTTCAGTAGTTTTATTGAAAAATGCCTCTTCTGTTTTCAGAAATAAATAAGAAATACGGCTGTGGAATTTATGAAAAGTGATGCTGCGTCTCAGATGTTCTGATTAAACCCAATGACATGTAAGAAGAACAGGAACCACATGTGATTCCACTGCTGCTAACATGAACTGTGACAGAAAAAAGGCAAACTGATAAATACTAAGATACGCAGGAAAGCTGTTATAATGAACCTTGTTTCTCTGCTGCTCCTTTAACACAAACCTAATGCAAATATGTTACAGGCAGGAAAACGAGAAGCTCACAGGTTGTTTTTTTTTTTAAATTGGTCCTCAGTACATTTTCTTCCATGTTATTAAAAATTGGGCTGAACACCCGGTTCTTCCAGTCCCGTCACCCGCCACGCACAGTTAATATTCACAAACACTTTCAGGCATTTTCAAGGTTTCAAACCCCTCCGGGAACAAAACACAGACGCTCTTATGATGTCAGCCTGTCAGACGACTTTCTGGGCAGCGACCTCTTCCGGCGCTGGTTCTGCAGCAGCTGGTTCTCCTGGGGGGCGGAGGCGACCCGGGTTCCTGCTCGGAGACGCTCGTTTGAGTTTAAGGAGGACAAACATTTATGGCATCAGAGCATGCGCACACAGAGCTGACGTTAGTCCCAACAGCAGGGGGCGTGGCCACACGTAGGGGGGGGCGTGTTTACATGAAGGGGGCGTGGCCACTGCATCTGTCCAATCTGGCAATATTGCTTATTCATCCTAAAAATGATTCACAGGTTGGAAAAATCTTTCTTAATTTGAATTTTCCAACAGATGTTTTATTTTGTAGACTACGAAGGTGTGAGAGAAGCTGGAGGCTTCTTCCTGTTCAAAGGGAGTTTTTCCACCCTACTGTCGCTACAAGCATGCTTGGTGTGAGGGAAACTTTGAATCAATCTGATTGGATGATCTGGTGAACTGTAAAGTCACTATAGAAATAAACTGAATTGGATAGAGTATCTGCTGAAACGAGACAATCAGCTGTCAGAGGCAGAGGCCACGCCCCTCTAGGTGTTAGTCAGGTGATTTGATCACAGAATGAAGCAGGAAGTAGAGTTGTTATTGACACAAACCCAGAGTTTAGGATAGAAAGGGGAAAGTTTTGTGGAAGGAGACGGGAGTCGGACCCTCCGGGGCCCCAGAGGAGCGGTGGCAGGTTACAGGAGTTAAAGTTGGGCTCGGTTTATCCCCCGGTCCCGGCTCTGTTAATCCACCTCTGTTAGTACGGGCTACCGTTCGGCTCATGCTCCTCGGCTGGCTTCGGCGGGTCGGTGCCGTCAGCGCCGCTGCTGTTAGTACGGCTCCTCTGGGCCGGCGCTGGTTAAGGGGTTCCGGTGGCGGGTTTGTTTTTTTTTCCTTTAAGTGGTGCTATTCTGTCAACAAGTGTTTGCTTGGTTCAGGAAGTCAGTGAAAGCAGCGCAGGCGGCATTACTACCCTAAATATGGTGAACCTGAAACAGGCCAGACAGGATGGAGCGGGTCAGTCGGGTCAACACATGCAGAATTCCTCAGAGTCTGGGTCCAAGTTCAGACTGAAGGGCTTTGGAGTTCCATCTATCTGCTGCAGGTCTATGCTCCATGTTTCCTGCATGGAGGATTACTGATGAATTTAAAAAATCAGAACCCGATTATGAAGACGACACAGGGGCAGAATACGGATAGTGGTGCGTTCAAGTGCCATAGGTAAATGACAATCAGTTCTAATCGGGCAGAAACACATTTAGCTTTTTTAGCTTGTGACTTTTGAAAATTAAAAATATCGCCTGTTGTTTATTTTTTGTGTGTTTTTTTTACCAGAGTCAACCCAGAACATGCAACGCTGCTCTTCTTTTGCTAAAATGTTCCGGTTGCTTATTGGAGACTTTATGGAATAATGAATTAATTTTACTGTAGTTTGGTGTGCTGAACGTCCCTTTGGATTTTAGACCTTTGCTTGAGGAGCTGCAGGTTTATTTTTAACCACTAGAGGGCACTCCACATGAACTGTCCGTTTTTAGTAACTAGTAGCAGAAACGGAGTAGAAAAGAGGAAAAGGGATTTCTAACACTTGACATACAAACTTTTGATCCATTTTATAAAATATAGCAAACGTTTAGAGATAATTATTCCTTAAAGTCGTAGAGAATTTAAATTTTAAATCATTCAGGCTTAAACACGTATATAAATTTATTCTTTATCAGACGATATTTTTTCGATATATTTTCGGTCATAGCATCTTGATTCATATGTCGCAGCGGTTGAAACCAGAATCCTTTCCTTTCCCATTGAGTTGCGTCCCAGTGTTCACGGGGATGGACGTCTGTGTCTTCGGCAGGCGTAGAGCTAACAGAACTGGCAGCGTTGCGAGGCAAGGGCTCAAACATGTACGGCTGGAAGCCTTCTACACCAAACCAAGCTTCTGCCGCCCTGGCGTCCTCTTCCACAACATCTTCGTCCCCGCTTTCCTCCTCTAAATAAAAAATGGATGGCGGAGGAGACTCATCCACGACCTCCGACACTAAACTCTCCTCCTCTTGCATGTTTCCTCTGTCCATAGCGTTCCTTGACAGCGTCGTTTCTAAGTCACCAATTTAGTGCTACTTGGTCCCAATGGAATTTCCCATTGGGAACCTGCTAGCACTAAGTTGCTAACTGGTTAGCAAGATGCTTCCGACAAACCGGCTACAACCAAATTTGCTTGTGAACCTTCCACCATAACAATCCCGCCCCCTTGATAAACGACCAATCACATTCACTTTATTCACTCGCGTAAAGTCGGGCACCACTGGGAGAATTCAGCTGTCGGACGCTTTCCTGCTGCTCCTCCTGATCAGTGAGATCACTAACGGAGTCCGATTGACCTTCTGGGATTTTTCTGTACCTATTTAACGTGTCGTTTTTTACGAACGGTACTGAACGCACCACCGTGGCCGGCCTGAAAACACACAGACAGAGAAGTCACTCCGGTTTCAAACCTCAGGACATCAGAAACTTGGCAGCAGATATCAGGTCACCATGGTAACGGGTGGGCTGACTGGAGATGAGTGGAAGAATAAATAAAAGAAAACATGAAACGATTTATGGGGGGGGGGAAGCGGCGGGGCCTGAACTGGGCTTTCTATCAGCAACCAGAATCTGTGAGCTGATATATAAAGTTCTACAGATCGGCTCTGAAGCCGAACAAAAAAAAAGATCTGATTTTAGAAGAGCTAAGAAGGATGTTTGATTGGAAAAATGGGTTCAGAACCCCTCTGATCTGCTCCTGGATCCAGACTCCTCACCAGAGGAACCTTCCCCTCCGTCAGACATGTTGATCCCACATCATTCCTCCTCCTACGCACCTACGTATCCCTGACCGTTGTAAGGAATACCGACACACTGAGAGGAATCGCAGTATCCAGGAGGTCCCGGAGGACCACGGACTCCGGCGTAGCCTGGACGGCCGGGGGGGCCGCGGGGTCCAGGGGAGCCTGTGGAGCCTGGGGATCCGGTCCTGCTCTCTCCTGGAGGACCTGGTGGAGGAAACAGACGCTGCAGGTTATATGGTTTTATGGTTCCGAATGACTTCCTGCCTTTCAGGTTAAAAGCCTGACTGAGTCCGGAGCACAGGTGGGTCAGGGATGACCCTCCATTTAACACAACTTATTTTACAGTTAACCAGTAAAACATTGTCACTGGTGCAACGGTTTGATCAAAAAGAACATTCAAAATAAAACTCGGGGGGACTTCCTCCTGCATTTCCCCCTCCCCCCACCCTTTTTGCTGGACTTCTGAGATAAAGCTCAACCAATTGCAGAATAAAACATCTCGTGAAGAATATTATTCAAATGAGGGTCTATATTACTAGTAGAAGAAAAAATTTAACCATTTCAAAGTAAAACTTTCACAATTTTTCAAAATAAAAGCCAAAAAATCACACATTTAATCACTTCTAACATGATAATTGATCCAAACCAGTTAATGGGATTGGTATCCTATCAAAATAAAAGTCTTCTTTAAGAGGACATAGAAAAAAAACAGTTTATCTGTATGAGATACTTTTTAAAAATGACAGTTTTGCTAATTAATTAGTCATTACAAAGTTTGGCTTCAGGTTCATGTTGGACTTCAAACAGCAAAATATATTTGTTAGTGGATATTTATCATGGTGTTCAGCCGTATATGGAGTGAGTTTTATTCCATGAATTGTTTCACACTAAGAACACGTTTTTAAAATAAAATAAAAAATGCAAAAGAAAAAAAAATTAGAGTAACTCTTCTTTTCGTATTCTTTTCTAATTGTGTTTTCCAGATCAAATTCTCTTCATGCTTTCCTCTGGACCGATGAGCAAAGACGTATTTCTATTGGTCTGCTGGACGCTGAAACGTTCTGATTGGTCCAGAGAAACTGTTTGGAAAACACAATTTGAAAACAGTGCAATTCAAAAAAATCTGAAAGAGATATTTTTAAAAATAAAATGTGAAAATATAAAATCTGTATTTTTTTTTTATTTCATTGGTGGATTTTTTTCATCCATCCATCCATCATCCATCCCTCCATCATCCATCCATCCATCTCTATCATCCATCCATCATCCATCCATCATCTATCCATCCATCATCTATCCATCCATTCATCCATCCATCCATCCATCCATCATCCATCCATCCATCTCTATCATCCATCCATCCATCCATCATCCATCCATCCCTCTCTATCATCCATCCATCCATCCATCCATCCATCATCCATCCATCCATCATCCATCCATCCATCCATCATCCATACATTCATCTCTATCATCCATCCATCCATCCATCCATCATCCATCCATCCATCATCCATCCATCCATCCATCATCTATCCATCCATCCATCATCCATCCATTCATCTCTATCATCCATCCATCCATCCATCATCCATCCATCCATCATCTATCCATCCATCATCCATCCATCCATCCATCCATCATCCATCCATCCATCCATACATCCATCCATCCATCCATCATCCATCCATCCATCCATCCATCCATCTCTATCATCCATCCATCCGTCATCCATCCATCCATCCATCCATCCATCCATCATCCATCCATCTCTATCATCCATCCATCCATCCATCCATCCATCATCCATCCATCCATCCATCCATCCATCATCCATCCATCCATCATCCATCCATCCATCCATCATCCATACATTCATCTCTATCATCCATCCATCCATCCATCATCCATCCATCCATCATCCATCCATCCATCCATCATCTATCCATCCATCCATCATCCATCCATTCATCTCTATCATCCATCCATCCATCCATCATCCATCCATCCATCCATCCATCCATCCATCATCCATCCATCCATCCATCATCCATCCATCCATCCATCCATCTCTATCATCCATCCATCCATCCATCCATCCATCATCCATCCATCCATCCATCCATCATCCATCCATCCATCATCCATCCATCCATCCATCATCCATACATTCATCTCTATCATCCATCCATCCATCCATCATCCATCCATCCATCCATCCATCCATCCATCATCCATCCATCCATCCATCATCCATCCATCCATCCATCTCTATCATCCATCCATCCATCCATCCATCCATCCATCATCCATCCATCCATCCATCCATCATCCATCCATCCATCATCCATCCATCCATCCATCATCCATACATTCATCTCTATCATCCATCCATCCATCCATCCATCATCCATCCATCCATCATCCATCCATCCATCCATCATCTATCCATCCATCCATCATCCATCCATTCATCTCTATCATCCATCCATCCATCCATCATCCATCCATCCATCATCTATCCATCCATCATCCATCCATCCATCCATCCATCATCCATCATCCATCCATCCATCCATCATCCATCCATCCATCATCTATCCATCCATCATCCATCCATCCATCCATCCATCCATCATCCATCATCCATCCATCCATCATCCATCCATCCATCCATCATCCATCCATCCATCCATCCATCCATCCATCTCTATCATCCATCCATCCGTCATCCATCCATCCATCCATCCATCCATCCATCCATCCATCCATCCATCCATCCATCCATCCTCCTAGACGCTTATGGTGGAATCTTTTTTTTGTAATGGAGAGTATTTCCCTCCATAGCATTATCTCCAACATCTCCATCAGAATCTCATCTTTTCCTATTATCCATTTTATCCCTTTATAAAGAAAACATCAATTCATTGTTTCTGAATTCACTTTAAAAGAATCAGAAACATTTTTTTATGTAACCAGCTGCTGTGTCTGTAAACCTGCCCTGGGTCTGGGGCCAGGAGGGGCCCCACAGAGCCACAAAGTCTGCCTCCGTCTCAGGAGACGCTGAGACATTTTAATCTGGACCCTAAAACCAAAGCTGGGAATAAATCCTACGCTGCCGTCCTCCACCTGGAGCGCTGGGAACTGGGAAACTGTCTGGAGGAAAATTTGTTTTATGAGTTTAGAAGCTAACAGATAATTACGGGCTGGTCAGCATCATCCGCACTTAGAAACCTCGTAAATAAAAAAAAATCCTCCTCATCTGCTGCTGACAGTCTGAGGATCAGAGTCCGGATGTGGAAAACTGAGCCGTGGGAGGAAAATAAGGATCTGCTGATCTGGGTTGGAACACGGAACGTTTGGAACGTCTCCGTCTCTCCCTCCTCAGATCCTCACTAGTTCATCATTTTGCTTAATTTTGGTCCATTTGGACCAGTTTAACACTAATAGTCGGAGTTATTCTGGTTCTGCACATCGATGCTGGGAAGACTGGAAGTTAATGAGCGTGGATGCAGGACGGCTTGGACCGCGTTTCACTAATAATCCCTCGGAATGATTGTCAGACTGAGGGGACTCAATTTCTCCAAATGAAGAGCGGCGGTACCTGGAGGCCCTCTGGGTCCTTTCTGTCCGACTCCCGGAACGCCTCTGTCTCCTTTTTCTCCTGCAGGACCTGAACACACCATGAATGGGATGTTATGGACTTTTCTTCCAGATGTTCTGGTAGGTCGAGTTCTGGTTCCCTCAGACTGACGCTCCCACCTCTTTCTCCCTGCTGGCCAGGTAAACCTGGATTTCCTGGGAATCCATTCCTTCCTCCGGGGCCCGGTTCTCCACGTGGTCCCTGACTGCCGGGAGGTCCGGGAGGCCCTGGGGGGCCCGGGTTGTTGCTGCCTCGGTAGTTCCCGTTAGGGATCTGGTTCAGCATCGTGTTGACCCGGCTCATTTGATCTGGAATGAAAGAAGAATATAGAAGCTTTCCAGCAATAAAATAGAGCAGCGGGCCACATCTGGTCGACTCGGTTCCGGGTGACCGGGTTCTGGGTGACCGGACCACGTACCACTAACGAGCTGCGAGCAGACTTGTCTGGCGATGGATCGCATCATGTTCTGAGGAGCAAAGTCGCCCTGCGAACAGAGAGGATCCTCGTTAGATGACCCGTTTTAGATCAGACGCCCCCTGGTGGTTCCACTGCACACATCATTCTGAGCCACAGGCAGGAGTTAATCTGCTCTAGCATATTTAAAAATAAATACATAAATTCTCAATAAATAAATAAGCATTCAATTATTTGCCCCCTAAATGCAATAAATAAATGTAGGTAGAAATTAAATTATACAGTGAGAAAAAAATTTATACATCTCTTTTAATTAGCTTCTTTATTTATTCACCTTTGTACTAATTACCTTATTTATTCATGTTGATGTTATAATATTTTTGTCTCTTATATTTTTCATTTGTATTTTTTTACCGTATTTATTTCTTCTTATGAGATAACGAGATAGTTGTAGCCGTAAAATGCTAACCAACCAATGGGCAGAGGTTGACCCTCTAAGAGACACACTATCCTCATTTGCATAATGAGGCAGAAATGTAAAAACGACGCCAGAAATTACAACCAAGTATTAGGGCAAGGCTAGAGACTTTTTTTCTTCTATTACAAGAATAAAGTCGTAAAATTACGAGAATAAAGTCGTATAATTACGAGAATAAAGTCGTAACCTTACGAGAATAAAGTCGTACAATAACTAGAATAAAGCCGTAAAATTACAAGAATAATATCATATAATTACGAGAATAAAGTTGTAACATTATGAGAATAAAGTCGTAAAATTACGAGAATAAAGTCGTAAAATTACAAGAATAAAGTCGTACAATTACGAAAATAAAGTTGTAAAAATTACAATAATAAAGTCGTACAATTACGAGAATAAAGTTGTAACATTATGAGAATAAAGTCGTAAAATTACGAGAATAAAGTCGTAACATTATTAGAATAAAGTCCTAAAATTACGAGAATAAAGTCGTAACATTATGAGAATAAAGTCGTACAATTACGAGAATAAAGTCGTAACATTATGAGAATAAAGTTGTACAATTATGAGAATAAAGTCGTACAATTACGAGAATAAAGTTGTAACATTATGAGAATAAAGTCGTAAAATTACGAGAATAAAGTCGTAACATTATGAGAATAAAGTCGTACAATTACGAGAATAAAGTTGTAACATTATGAGAATAAAGTCGTACAATTACCAGAATAAAGTCGTACAATTACGAGAATAAAGTCGTACAATTACGAGAATAAAGTCGTACAATTAGGAGAATAAAGTCGTAAAATTACGAGAATAAAGTCGTACAATTACGAGAATAAAGTCGTAAAATTACAAGAATAAAGTCTTACAATTATGAGAATAAAGTCGTAAAATTATGAGAATAAAGTCGTACAATTACGAGAATAAAGTTGTAACATTATGAGAATAAAGTCGTAAAATTACGAGAATAAAGTCGTAACATTATGAGAATAAAGTCCTAAAATTAAGAGAATAAAGTCGTAACATTATGAGAATAAGGTCGTACAATTACGAGAATAAAGTCGTGACATTATGAGAATAAAGTCGTACAATTACGAGAATAAAGTCGTACAATTACTAGAATAAAGTCGTAAAATTACAAGAATAAAGTCGTACAATTACGAGAATAAAGTTGTAACATTATGAGAATAAAGTCGTAAAATTACGAGAATAAAGTCGTAACATTATGAGAATAAAGTCGTACAATTACGAGAATAAAGTCGTAACATTATGAGAATAAAGTCGTACAATTACGAGAATAAAGTCGTACAATTACGAGAATAAAGTCCTAAAATTACGAGAATAAAGTCATAACATTATGAGAAAAAAGTCTGAAAATTACGAGAATAAAGTTATAAACTTACAAGAATAAAGTCGTACAATTATGAGAATAAAGTCGTAACATTATGAGAATAAAGTCGTAACATTATGAGAATAAAGTCGTAACATTACAAGAAAGAAAGCTTGGAGCTCCGCCCAGCAGATGACGGCCTACCAGCTCCACCAATCAGCAACCAGAGTCCACTTTGACATCCTGCCCAGTTTGATGCTGCTGCTAAAAGATTTCCTGATTTGTCAAACCGATGCTAAAGTAGAACTTCACATGATGCTCCACATTCCTCAGTTTAGGGAAGAAAGGGCTTCTTGTAGGAGGTCTCATAAAATAAAAATTTATTCTCATAATATCTCATTGTATTATCATAATATAACAATTTTATTACCGTAATTATATGACTTTATTCTCCTAATTTTACAACTTTATTCTCATAATTTTATGACTTTATTCTCATAATGTTAGGACTTTATTCTTGAAATAGAAGTAAAAAAAATCTCTAGCCTGACCCTAATACTCCGTAGTAAGAAATAAATAGCATTGAAGAAATTAATAGGGTAAAAAAATACAAATGAAGAATTAAACAGAGTAAAATATAACAACATGCACATAAATAAATACTTTAAAAAATTAGGTATTAATAAATAAAGTTGAAGATTATTACAGACAACAAATAAATGAGGTTATTATTACAAAGGCGAAAAAATAAAGAAGCTAATTAAGAGATATATAAATTTATATTTCGCTGTATAATCTAATTTCTACCTACATTTATTTATGTATTTTATTTTTGGGGGCAATTAATTGTATGCTTATTCATTTATTGAGAATTTATTTATTTCTGTATTTATTTTCAAATAGGGTAGAGCTGGTCCTCCGTATTAATCTGGATTGAGAGTTAATCTCTCTGGAAATCAGACAGCTGAAAGTAGGAGAACCAGAACCGGGTCCGGTCTGTAGATCCAATCAGGTTTTTAGGTCCATAAATAAACCAGATCAGCAGCAGAGACATTTTGTTAGAATTCAGAGCTAAATCTCTGCTAAAAATTAGTTTTCCAATGAGTGGGAATCAGTCAAGGGTTTAAGTTCTCCTCTGTTGGACCTCAGGTCTCAGAGGGCGTCCATGTTTCCAGCCGGCGGTGACGGTTTTAACTCCTCCCCTTTACTCACCCTCTCTCCTTTGTCTCCTTTCAGACCGGCGGCTCCCTGAAACCAGAACAGTAGAACCTTAGAAACCAGAATCCTCGTCACGTTGCTCCATAAATGTTCTCTCTGCTGGAATACTCACAGGAGGTCCAAGGTCTCCTGGGTTTCCAGATTTTCCTGAAGGTCCTGGCATTCCTGGAGATCCTGGAGGTCCCTGCAAGGAAACAAAAAAAGCCCCAGAGATGAGCTCCATGAGGTGGTAAAGGCCTGGGCCAGAGGTCGGGGTCTCAGCGGGTCTTACCATGGGTCCTGGTGGTCCTCGGGGTCCAGCTGGTCCTTCCTTTCCTGAAGGTCCCTGGAAAAAACACAAGGTGTCTTAAAAACCAGAAAATGAGGCGTTCATCCTGACAGAATTCAGGCGGTGTGCACTCACCCTCACTCCAGTGGGTCCCACGGGTCCAGCAGGACCGGGAGCACCTCCGGAACCCTGCAAACACCAGAGATCCCGTTAATCTGTCCCGCTCCGAGCGCTGGAAGCTGGATCTGGGTTCTGAGCCGTCTTTTTCCCAGAACTACATCAATTCATGCTCCAGATTTACAGGCAACCTAATGGCTTCCAGATCCGATTTATAGGCCGTCAGAGCGCTGGGCCGGGCCGGTCTGGAAGCCATTAACTGCATGTAGCTGCAGCAACGGTTTGAGCAGGTTCACCTGCGGCTCCATCAGGAGGAGGAGCTTCAGGCCCAGCAGAACCGGTTCTGTTCCGTTTAACCCGTTAACCTTTACAGCGTTTTAAAAGATCAAACATCACGCATTCATCAAGTCATCACCTGTCCTGGGTCCAGTTTTAGAATCACAGGAGCTAAGTATCTGGTTCTGCTGGTAAAAAGGTAAATATCCTGTACTTATATGGCGCGTTTTCAGACCAAAGAGCTTTACTCTACACTCAGTCATCCACACACACACCGATGGTGGTGAGCTACATCACAGCCACAGCTGCCCTGCTGCTCACTGACAGAAGCCAGGCTGCCGTACGCTGGCGCCGCCGGGCACTCCGACCGCCATCAGTAGGCAGGTGAAGTGTCTTGCCCCAGAGCTAGATGGGCGGAGCTAGATGGGCAGCCAGAGGTGGCCATGGCCACCATTAGCCGGTCATTGACCACCGCTACCATTTTTCCCTCTAATACAGGCGGTGGCAGCAGTAATGCTCTCAAGAGGAATATTCTACCTCATTAAACATTTTAATTTTTCATATATTAACAATTACTTGACAACTAAAGCTCTGTGTTTAATTATGCACATCAATATACTAACATTAAGCTGATATAAACAGGAAGTAAAACATTTTTTATTATATGGGGTAAACAGAAAATGATGTTTCTGAAAGGTAAAAAACTACTTTAACAATAACTTAAAAATCCATTTAATGTAGATATTAGTAGATGTAAATATTATTTTTATGCAGAACAATTTTTTGATAAAAGTAGGTAAGTAATGACTATGGAAAAATGTTAGCCCCATATAAATATCTGCGTCTGAAGGACAATCGTCTGTTCCTGTTTGGCTGTGACTCCATCCTGGAGAGAAATATCAGCTGTGCTGCTGCCATCAACACCTTTGTTTCTAGATGTTGGAGCTTGTCCTGTTTTCCAGTGTAGTCCTGTTTCTCTGACTGTGACTAACTGGATGTGCTCTCTTCATCCTCTGACATGGGAGCTGGCTCGGAGCTCGTCTGCCTGGCTGTGTGTTTCCTGGACGGGGCCGCCTGTGGAGCTGGTGGACAGTTGCCTTTTGTATCTATGCTTCTTTTTCTATGTCTGCTTCTGTCTCCTTGAACCCCAGTGGGCCTCAGCAGATGGCCGCTCACACTGAGCCTGGTCCTGCTGGAGGTTTCTTCCTGTTCAAAGGGGGTTTTTCCTCTCCACTGTCGCTACAAGCATGCTTAGTGTGAGGGATTGCTGAAGAGTCAATGAGTCGATGCAATCAGCTGGTTTTCCTTAGATAGAAAACTTTGAATCAATCTGACTGGATGATCTGGTGAACTGGAAAGTGACCTGAGATGACATGATGTGAATTGGAGCTATAGAAATAAACTGAATAGAATAGAATAGGTAGCGTAGCATCCAATTTCAGGTGCAGATGAGTGATAACATAACCACATGAGTGATAAAACATTTATTTTCATAGGAACTACATCATTAACCTTTAAGGCATTATAGTTTAGTACACTTCCTATTTTTTTCGGGAAGGAAAAACGTCATTTAGGTCTATTGTACAAATTAAAATCGAGGGCGACCCGGATGTACATCTGGATGTGCAAATGAGCTGACGGGACAGATCGGATAGCAACAGCAGAAACCAACTTACTTTTTGTCCTGGCAGGCCGGAGTCACCAGCGTCTCCCTTCGGTCCGGGACGACCCTGAGGAAGAAAAACCAGAGGATGAGCTTGATCAGAACCTCCTGAGCGCCTCATGAAGAACCCAATAATGGCTCTGGATCCACGACTCTGATGTTCAACCATAATGCTCATGTAGGAGGAACAGAGAACCGGGAACCCCACCCTGTACGCACAGACCCTATACTGAAACAAGGGGGTGGCAGCATCATGCTGGGGGACTGATGGGATGTTCCTGCAGCTGCTCCTGCAGTTGGACATGTCTAGTTTAGCCTGTGGAGGTTACACTCTGTGATGTTCACCTGACCCCTATATGACGTTAAAAAATTAACCAATCAGATCCGTTCTTAAGATCATCAACCAATCAGATCAGATCTTTCTCTAATCCAACTGTTAAACATCATCTGAACACCGAGAGGTGAAAGCAGACTCACAGCCTCTCCTGGGATGGACATCCCGCTGGGTCCCTGAGGTCCAGGCAGACCCATGGGCCCCGGTGGTCCAATGCTTCCCTGTGGCCCTGCAGGCCCCTAAGACACACACAGCAGATTGGATCAGAACCGCCGAAGGGTCGGGAAGGAGGAAGGTTTCATCAGAGTACTCACAGAAGAACCGGGCTCTCCTCTTTCCCCTCGTGGACCTTTGCTGCCAGGAGCGCCCTGAGGAGAGCAGAGAGTTAGAGACGGAACAGATCCAGAACCTGATCACTTCCTGATCTTCAGCTCAGAGATGCTTCCTGCTCCACATGAAGAGCTCACAGCATCCTGGACCAGGATCTAATGGAGACCATCCTGTAGTCCCATCAGCTTCTATCGCAATATGTTCATGTTTGCAGCAGAAGTCAGGAGACGACATCTGAAGATCATCTGGTTCACAGAGAAACCTCCATCTATCCATCATCCATCCATCCATCATCCATCCATCATCCATCCATCCATCCATCCATCATCCACCCATCCATCCATCCATCATCCATCCATCCATCCATCATCCATCCATCCATCCATCCATCCATCATCCATCCATCCATCCATCCATCATCCACCCATCCATCCATCCATCATCCATCCATCCATCCATCCATCATCCTCCATCCATCCATCCATCCATCATCCATCCATCATCCATCCATCCATCCATCCATCCATCCATCATCCATCCATCATCCATCCATCCATCCATCCATCCATCATCCATCCATCCATCCATCATCCATCCATCCATCCATCATCCACCCATCCATCCATCCATCATCCATCCATCATCCATCCATCCATCCATCATCCATCCATCCATCATCCATCCATCCATCCATCCATCCATCCATCATCCATCCATCCATCCATCCATCATCCATCCATCCATCATCCATCCATCATCCATCCATCCATCATCCATCTATCCATCATCCATCCATCCATCATCCATCCATCATCCATCCATCCATCCATCCATCATCCACCCATCCATCCATCCATCATCCATCCATCCATCCATCATCCATCCATCCATCCATCCATCCATCCATCATCCATCCATCCATCCATCCATCATCCACCCATCCATCCATCCATCATCCATCCATCCATCCATCCATCATCCTCCATCCATCCATCCATCCATCATCCATCCATCCATCCATCCATCCATCCATCATCCATCCATCATCCATCCATCCATCCATCCATCCATCCATCATCCATCCATCCATCCATCATCCACCCATCCATCCATCCATCATCCATCCATCATCCATCCATCCATCCATCATCCATCCATCCATCATCCATCCATCCATCCATCCATCCATCCATCATCCATCCATCCATCATCCACCCATCCATCATCCATCCATCATCCACCCATCCATCATCCACCCATCCATCCATCCATCATCCATCCATCATCCATCCATCCATCCATCCATCATCCATCCATCCATCCATCCATCCATCCATCATCCATCCATCCATCCATCATCCATCCATCCATCATCCATCATCCATCCATCCATCCATCCATCCATCATCCATCCATCCATCCATCATCCATCCATCCATCATCCATCATCCATCCATCCATCCATCCATCATCCATCCATCCATCATCCACCCATCCATCATCCATCCATCCATCCATCATCCACCCATCCATCCATCCATCATCCATCCATCCATCCATCCATCATCCATCCATCCATCCATCCATCCATCCATCCATCCATCCATCCATGCAACATCCATCCATCCATCATCCATCCATCCCATCCCAACCACCATCCATCATCCATCCATCATCCATCCACCATCCATCCATCATCCATCCATCCATCCTCCATCCATCATCCATCCATCATCCATCCATCATCATCCATACATCATCCATCAATCCATCCATCCATCATTCATCATCCATCCAACATCCATCCATCCATCATCCATCCATCCATCCATCATCCATCCATCGCTTCATCATGCATCGATCCATCCACCATCCATCCATCCATCCATCCATCATCCATCATCCATCCATCCATCATCCACCATCCCATCAAAAAATCGGGGGAGTAAGAAATGAGAAAAAAAGGGTGAGGAAAATGTCGTAAAAAAAAAAAAAACTAACAAATAAACAAACAGACCAAAAAGCCAAACGAACAAAAAAATGAAGAAAAGGGAGGAAAGAAGGGGGGGAAAAAGAACAAAATAATAAAAGTAAAAAATCAAAAATATAACAAAACCTACAAATATAAAAGTAAAAGCTGAACATCACCACAAAACTCGAACACCGAACACTAAAAATAAAAAATAAGAATACAATAACAAACCAAACTAAGATATCCCGGGAACACATGCCTGATATGGGGTGGGAAGGGGCGTGTTAAATCGGGCGGTCTAGGGGTGCGACGGGGGGGCGGGGGGGGTGGGGGGTGGGGGGGGGAGGGGGGGGGGGGGGTGGGGGGTTGGGGGGGGGTGGGGGTGGTGTTGTGGTGGGGGGTGGTGGAGTTGGATCTGCGGCGTGTCGAGGTGCGGGATGGTAGGGATGGATGTATAGTAATGATGGCGGTTGATATATGCTAGTGTAAGGATAGCGAAGGAATAGGCATGGATCAGGCCAGTATGGAATTGAGTTGGACCAATTATAATGCATTCAGTCAAGTTCAGTTCTTTCAGTGCCTTCATCATTTCCACGAGCTTACTCATCCTATCATTCAAATTCATCACAAAGTACAGTGTCTCATTGCACACAGATCATGACGTACAGTGCAATCGAGCTCATTTTAATATTCATCATTCATTCACCATACTTTCTGATGGTCACATCATCGCTCAGGTACATTATAATCTGGCAGTTATATGGTACTGCTAGGCTACGAGACTAGCACAACGAATGCCTGACGATGGAACGTATAGAGATGATGGCCATGTATCGGAAGGTCGATCTCACAGCCAATTGCTGTGTCAGGAATGAACGATATGTGAAAATAACCAGTACAACATGATTGGTAATTAGCCTGATGTGATCCATTGATGCAACACCGTCACAGCCATGACAATTAGCGCATGCGCATTTACTATTGGATGGAAGCCATCAGGTATCGGATAGAAAACTTATTGGCGGAATGGGTAGGTGTGCATAAGGAGTTGCACGGATTAGGATCGATGTGAGTGTAAGGAGGATGGATTGATTGTGAGAGTGATGATCGGATCCGTGGATGGATCATGATTAGAGGAAGGTATCGTGATGATTGTGTACGATTCGAGAGGAGTGCCCCAGTGATCGTCATGTCGATGTATAGGCGATGATGCTGACTGGATCGGTGGTTTAGACAGGGATGGTCAATTGTATTAGATGGTATGGAAGGGATGGGATGCAAGCACTATAGACATGGACCTAAGGATTGGACCGATACATGTGGGCGCAATGGGTATGATTCCATGCTATTCGCATGGACTAAAATTGGAATGTGTATGATTTGTTATGATACACAAGGTGGATGATGGATGGATGATGATGGAATGGATGGCCATTCCACTTACATGGCCTGGTATGTCACTGATGCGACCTGGATGGACTCGATGGATCCAGTATGGATGATGATGGATGGACTGGGGGGATTATATCTCTTAGTGATGTGGGGGGTAGGGGGGTTGGAGGATCGGAGGATGGATGGATGATGGATGGATGGTATGGATAACTCATGAGATGGATGCCAGATGTCTATTGGCCATCTGGGATGGATATCGATCGGATGGTGACTATGCAGATGGGATACGGCATGGCACTCCGCGTCAATTCCTGAGTCATGACCAGGCTCGACCAGGTACTGGGCATGCGCAGTATAGTATCGGATTGCATTCCATGAGATTCACCATATCGCATCGCATGTGATGACTCATGCTCAGTTCAGCCTTGCTGCCTCAGTCCTGTGATGATGGACCATGGATCGGTACATGATGAACTCATTGGCATAGCTTACCTCGTGACATCCGTTCGATCGGACATCCGATATGCATGATGGAGTCCATCGAGCATGGATCGGGATGGATGATGGAATGGATGGAGGTGGGATCCGGATTCGACTCGGCATCGCGGATTTTATTACGGATCTTGATGATGAGATTAGGCCATCCAATACATCCAATGACCAACCCTTCCCCATCATCCCCATCCATCCATCATCCATCCATCCATCCCATCATCCATCCATCAATTCCAACCAATCAACCCATCCATCATCGCTCCATCATCCATCCATCATCCATCCATCCATCATCCATCCATCCATCCATCCATCATCCATCCATCATCCATCATCCATCCATCCATCCATCATCCATCCATCCATCATCCATCCATCCATCATCCATCCACCATCCATCCATCCATCCATCATCCATCCATCATCCATCCATCCATCATCCATCCATCATCCATCCATCCATCCATCATCCATCCATCATCCATCCATCCATCCATCCATCATCCATCCATCCATCATCCATCCATCCATCCATCATCCATCCATCCATCCCCCCCCCCCCCCCCCCCCCCCCCCCATCATCCAATCCATCCATCCATCATCCATCCATCCATCCATCCATCCATCCATCCATCCATCCATCCATCATCCATCCATCCATCCATCCATCATCCATCCATCCATCATCCATCCATCATCCATCCATCCATCCATCATCCATCCATCCATCATCCATCCATCCATCCATCCATCCATCATCCATCCATCCATCCATCCATCATCCATCATCCATCCATCCATCCATCATCCATCCATCCATCCATCATCCATCCATCCATCCATCCATCATCCATCCATCATCCATCCATCCATCATCCATCCATCCATCATCCATCATCCATCCATCATCCATCCATCATCCATCCATCATCCATCCATCATCCATCCATCATCCATCCATCATCCATCCATCATCCATCCATCCATCCATCCATCATCCATCCATCCATCCATCATCCATCCATCCATCCATCCATCCATCATCCATCCATCCATCCATCATCCATCCATCCATCATCCATCATCCATCCATCCATCCATCCATCCATCATCCATCCATCCATCCATCCATCATCCATCATCCATCCATCCATCATCATCCATCCATCCATCCATCCA